AAAAAAAAAGCTAGTTTGATTAATATTCTGATACTGATAAGTCCCTGAGGTAACATCTACTAGCAGGGTTTGGGAATGGAAAGCACCTAGGCTAGGGCTTTAAGAAAACATTGTAAAGGTTTAACTTCATAGGCTGATTATTAGAAACTTACAGTTGCCTTCTGTGAATGCATTTGGATAGGTGGCCTGTACAGTCAACAATAGGGTTACCTTTGGCCCTTCCTACTCCATGCTTGTGTTTACTGAACACTTAATATGCAGCAGACACCCTACTACTGCTGTAATATATCTATACACAGGACAAGCCTCTCTGCTACTGGCCTTCTCCACTTTTCTCCTACCTAGCTCCTTCTTGACAGGCTCCACTGGAACCCAAAGTCATCTTTTATAACGCCATCTGACCACGTACTATTACTGTCATTGGTTTGCAGTTTTCAGAGACAAACTTTCACATCTGTTTGATTTGCCAATATGTCTACATGATCAGTCACATTCAAGCATGGAAAATATAAGGCTCTTCACAGTTTGTACCCTGCTTACTTCGAGATCTATCTTCCTTGCCTTTGAGTATACAGTCTCCAGCCACGTTAGCTTCCTCCAATGAAGATCAAGGGATGCACCACAGTCCTTCCCACTTCAGACTAAAAATACTCCTTCCTTTGCTCTGAGGCCTTGGGACACAACTTTTCCTTTCCAGTTCTCTTGGTAGCTTCTATCTGTCCTCTGCTTCAGAAATTACCACTACTAGAAAATACTCAGATTGTTCCACAGAACTGATACACTGTCTTCCTGCTTCACTGCATTTACCTTATCATAGCACATACCATTCAGTAATTAAATTGCCTGTTTCCGTATTGGAGGGCATCCTGAAACAGTAACTAGCACCTATCAGACCCGCAGATATTTAACATAGTCGGTCACAGTCTGTTTTGTGCTGTTTTGGGACTAGGTCATTTATAAAGAATGGAAATTTGCAAGGGAATGGGGAAAAAACCAAGATATATCATGCAAATGTATAAATTCCCAGTGATGGATGCCATCATATTGTATACTTAAAATTTAAACCAATAAACCTAATGAATAAAAAAAAAGAATGGGAATTTGTTGGCTAATAGGTCTGGGTCTGGGAAATATAAGGTAAAGATACCAGGAGTTCTGGTGATTCCAATTCCAAGATGGTGCCTTACATCTTGAGTCTATGGAGAAAAGAAAGGCTAAATGCTCAGGTGTGTGTGTGTGTGTGTGTGTGTGTGTGTGTGTGTGTGTGGTGTGGGGGGGGAATTCAATTCATCCTTTTATAATGGCACTAGTTCCACACATGAAGGAATTAAACAGTAATTAAACTTAAACATGAGTTTTGGAGGGAGCACATTCAAAACATAGCAGGGTCATTGAATGTATGAATAAATTAAACAATACTGGAAAATTTATCAGGGATTTTGTTTTGTTTCCTCTATACCTCTAGAATCTATTATACCATTATAGCACATAGTTCATCATGAGTGTATGCTAATCATTTTTAATTGATGCCTTAATTCATGGATAAGAGTTAGACAAAGCTTATGCACCCAGGTATGCAGATATATCAGGGCAATCACATGTAATATTAAGACAAGTCAACTCTAGGCCACACTTGTTTGGATAATGATAAACTCCATTGTGTATTCACTGAGGAAATAACTTTCATGGTACCAAGTGCCAAGGGAATCGTAACTACCAAGTGTCCTCATCAAGGAGTGTGGCTGTTGAAGTAATATGTTTGTTTTTTAAAGTAATACGGTTAAAACAAATCTGTGGCTTTTCTGGCTAGAACCCTCCAGTCCTTTTTTGAGGGGGGTTCTTTTCCTTTTGTTTTTGTTCCTCCGCAAGGTGAAATGCAGCATACATACCTTGGTCTGCAATGCCAAGCCCTGTAATCTCTCCCAATGTATTTACAGCCTTGTCTGTTTCCATCTCCCAACCACCAAACCATCCCTGACAACCTTGGGAAAACACT